TTTTCGTTTTCTTCTAGGAAGAGTTGACGTTAGCATCGTGGATTTTTCAGTGGAGCTGGGCTTGCCGTCACCGCTTCTACAGGAATGTCTCCCTGGAATTTCTCCCTGGAATGGCCAAAAAGGGAAGGATTTCTCGACTCTTGGCCGTTTCTGTGCTGCGCTCTGTCCCTCGGCAGATGGCAGCAATGGCCTTGGTGTGACAGGGACTCATCGCCACACGGCTGTGTCACTCACAGATTCACTCTTCCCCATCGATCATTGCCCCAAAAKAGTTCCAGTTCAATGATAATTGCTTTGGATCCTGTTAATTATTTCTAAAAAGACGCAAAGTAGATCCAGAATAGTTACATTTATTTGAACTAGAAACCCTGAAATGATGCACAGCTCACATTTTATAGAATATCTGAATATTTATGCATTCCAAATTAAGTTGCACCTTACAATTTGAGTTGAATATTTATATATTCCTAACTAAACTAAATTTTACACTGAGTACAAGCCTGGCTACAAAATAGGCTGTTTTGTTTTTATTTGTAAGCGATTTGCTGAATTCAGACAAGTGTGCAGTTCCTTGCTGCAATTAAGATGTTTCTGCTTTGGAAAGGAGGTCTCATTCCTTCACCYTTCTCCTTCCTCCTGATCGTTCTCTCCTTTCTTCCCTCTCTGCTCTTCCAGCCCCTGCACTGGTTGGTACCACCACCAAGACATTGGCTTGCAAAGCAAACTGATGCTGCTCCAAACCCCACAGAAAATCGCAATTTTTCTGATTAAAGTTTTCCATTTCTATAGTGAGCAAAGTCCACACTTTGCTATGTACCCTGTGAGCATCAGGGCGAGCTTTGGAGAGAGGAGAGTGCATAGGAAGAAGGAAAGGAGTTTGGGGAGATGGGTTGGGGCATGGTTCTCCTCGTTTCTATGACAGAAATCTCATGTCTTGTCTCAGATCATTGCGTTACATCATACTCTGAAAGACAGGAATAAAAATCCTCGCCTCCAGAGA